CACCTAAGCGAAGGTTAATCTGGTCTTCAAAATTGCAAACTAAGCGATTGCAATGCACAAATTCAATCAATTTTGCACCATACAGTCCAATTGACTGAGCGAAGATTAAACACCAATTAGGCAACTAAGCGTATACCCAATCGCAAGCGCTAAATAGATTGAATATTGAGCCAAATCAAAGCAGCAAAATCACAATTACAGTCCATAAATCTCAAGGAAACGATGGAATTTCGCTAATGACCAACCAAGCACACCTAAGCTACCATTAAAACGAAATTCAACACACCAAAATAAACTTCAAATATTGAACATGAAACAACATCTAAACTGGAACGAAATTGGCACAAGCGAAAGGGGAAAACGAAAGTAAACTATAAAACGAAATTGAACCTAAATTGAGTGCAGCGAACAGAAAGGCAAATTACAATGAAAGCATGAAACGAAACAACACATGAAATTGGAAGCAACAAAAGAAACAACAAAGGAAATTGGAAACAAGAAACAAAATTGCAATTGAAATTAAAAACGAGATTCATACATTAATTGAAAGGAAAAGAGAACAAAACCTAAACCCCCAAAAGCGGGGGTGGAAAAATGTCCTAATGCCCTTAACCTTGAAGAAGAAAACGAAAACGAGGGAGAGAGGTGACCTAAATCTGATTTGGGTATTTAAAAACCCCAAAAGACAAAAATTCCCTCTAAATGGGCTTCTCCTAAATGTTGACCAAAAATGGGTCCAAAGTCATAAAGTTTGACTGAATTACATTATAAACGAATTCAAAATGAAATTAAACTATAATGTTGACGTGGCCAGGCTCTTCTTGTCCCAAAATATGATTCATAAATTACCTTGCAATTAATAATTGGAATAATTAAGACCAAATAATTCAAACTAATTAAAAGGTTTAATACCCTATTTTGTCCCAAGTTTCGCTCGAAAATGTCAAATTAGTCCATCCTTTAAAAATTGTGTCAATTATGTCCTCACTTAATAAAATTTGCATCAATGAAATCCCTTCCGTTAAATCCGTACAAACGGCGTTAACTATTTTTCTCTTTCTTCTACTTTTCTTCTATTTTTCTGTGCAATGTAGGTTTTTGTCAGTTTTTTTTTCTCTTCTACTTTAAATACTTTCTCCTCCCATATCACTGAAATACTCTCTCCTCCCATATCACTCACATAGCCCCTTACCTCCCATGCATACTCTTCTTTACTTTCCATGTGAGGGTTCAACATGTTGTTATTTTTGGCAATTATTTTGTATCAAAATGTTGTTTGTCCCTTTCGTATACAAAAATTAATGTGGCCCGTTTATTTTAAATAATAACATGTTTAATATAATTTATTTATGATTATTACTTTTCAATAAATTTTAACTAATAATGTTCTTATAATGTTATTATTATTTTTCTATATTTTAGTTCTTTTATAACTTTAAGATATAATTGTGTATTTTTTTTTTCAATTATGAATTATTTTTATATTAGAAAAGAAACGACTTTTGTATAATAATCTGGTTATTATTCTTCCTTGGGACAAAATAGGGTATTAAACATAATTAAAATAAGAATTATTAGTCAAATTAAGCCCAATTAGTGAAAATAAGACAATAATGAATAATTAAACACAATTCATTAATACAATATGGTGCGGAAAGCTAAGTGAATAGTACAAAATAGTGATTCGTCAATCTGGTGTATTGTAATAATCGAAAAATTGTTCCACCTTGAAAATCCACTGCAATACGTTGGAACCATCAAAGCACGAAAAATCGATTTTCACATTATGCACCTGAAACGAAGGGGCCTTCATGGTTGAACTTGACGAGGCATCAACAATGTTCTTCACAATATCATCGATGACCGTTTCAAGGGTGTGAAAACGCAAGTTGTAGTCAGTGTTCCCAGACTCCATCAGCTCCAAAATCTTTTTAATGTCATTTGTTACTTCCTTGAGACGGGTGTTGTCAGCCATGAGCACACGAGAGCACCAAATGTTAAGGTAACAGTATCAGGACATGTAAAAACAGAGCAGAATGGAATATCAGTGAAAAGTTTATTGATGGCAGGTTCTATTTTATTTCTTCTGCTACCATGGATAGTCAGGGTACAATGAAAAGCAAATAAAACAACAATAACAGAAAGTCACAGACAGAACTTTCTACAGAGATGAGTCAAGTTTTCCTTTTCCTTCCCTTTCTCTCTTTCCTTTAACAGAATTTGTACTCCTTGTCAACACTCAAATCCACGTAGTTTTGAGCTAACCCACTTCACACGTGTGCTTCTCCTACACTCAACCCCTCGTTTTGGTCCCACCTCTTTTTCATCCATTACACATAATCAACTTTAAAATAACAATCATTGTTCAATAGCAACACTCAAAAGTAAAATCACTCAATTTCTGCTTACATTGTTATGAGATTCTTCCATTAATGTATCACAACAATAACAATACTCTAGTAAAGACTCAAATCAGAACTTTCACCAATGCGATCAAATTCGCCTACAATAACATATCATCTACCAAAAACTATTAAATATACAACAATTATTAAATATCCAATACACACTAAACTCTCCACTTTCCTACTAATCCTCTTATTTATGGAACAAAGACAAGGGGAAAAGGGAAAACAAAGTTAGAGAAAGAGAAAGAAATGATAATACAAGTCACTTAATGATTTGTTACAAGGGTTTAACATCTGAATCCATATACACTAAAGATTTATTTTCAATAGAAGGAAACGAAAATTCTAACTAAGTAATAATTAAAGAAAAATGTTGCTACAAGAGAAGTTTAATTGAAACATACAAATATGAACTATCCATATCATAATTTTTCAACAAAGTCATCACAACTGTGTGAAGGAAATAAAATAAATAAATTTATATCAATAACAACATAATGTTTATCTCCCCTAATTCTAAATAAAAATAAAGCTATTAAGTATCTTCTAAATAAGTCTGTTGCAAGCTTTCAAAAGTTTTAAAAGCGTCAGCTCATAAGATACCTCTCTTATGTTGGGGGCAAGGTACAAACAGGGAACTTTGATAGTGAAAGTATAAACAAGGTAGTGATTACTACTAATGATTTCACCACATCTACTATATGTGTGTGCCTAGACATGCTTCATAGCTACATACTAAGCTTGGACATACGAAACTAATTTAACTAAGAAAAATCAAATTCATTCCATACATCAACAACAACATTATCATTAACAAAATGCATAAACCTTGAGTTCATGGTTCTACCAACCTTAACACTGCGAAAAGTTCAAACTTTTGAACAAGAAGACACATTTACTCGTTGATGAAGAGCGCGAGAGAGGCGGAAAGACAAAATGCTACAACACTGGTGGAGCAACGTTGGGGAAGGTCACCTTGGAGCTCGCAATGGATGAGAAAGCAAAGGTAAATTGCGAGAGGGACAAAATGGGAAAATGGCGGCACACAAACGAAAAGAGAGAGAAAGGAAGAAAGGGGAAAATGGTGGCAGAGAAGACGGAGAACGGTAATGGGACCAACTTCATCGGCGATGGGGAGAGCAAGAGCGAGACAAATACACGAGGGAGAGAGAGAGTGAGAGCTTCAGTATACAGAGAAAGTGAGAGCAATGGTGGTGTTCACGAGAGGAAGAATATGCAAAGCGGAGGGGTTTTCTCAAATGAAATTGCGAAACTTTTCCCTTTCCAAAAGACCCTTTATATCACATTACACTTGTTAAAAAAACATTTCAAACAGACCAATCCACACCAGTCACCTGATGTTGTCAAAAGATTGACAAAAGTTTTTTGTTAAAGAAACATTTTCTTTTATATTCTCTCCACATAGAAAGTGAGAGCAATGGTGGTGTTTACGAGAGGAAGAAGATGCAAAGTGGAGGGATTTTCTCAAATGAAATTGTAAAACTTTTTCCTTCCCAAAAGACCTTTTACGTCACATTACACTTGTTAGAAACACATTTCAAACAAACTAATTCATACTAGTCACCTTACATTGTCAAAAGATTGACAAAAATTTGTTGTTAAAGAAACATTTTTTTTATATTATCTCCACAATTGCACGCACAAATTATCATCTATATCTATTAATTTGGTTCAGTTTCACAGATGGTGGAGGAGTAAAAACAAAGAGAACTCAATTTAGTTTCCTTTGTCAGATTGAAAAAAAATATAATTAAAATTGAACACAATTTATGAGTACGTTTTATCATATTTTCACGTATTTATTTTTATTTTCAAAATTAAATATTTATTTTATACTTCAATTAGTATCATGATAAAGTGTTTGTTAGCTGATATTATCGTTGAAATTATTATTATTCATTTTCGTAATATCTTCAAAAAGGACTTTTTAAAATAAATAAAATAAGCTTTTATGCAAATTAAAAAAATAAAGGTTTAGAGAAAGTATGTGAATTTTTTTTTATAAATTAAAGTTTACATAAATAAATTAATTTTAACTTATATGAAAAATCATTTTATTTTATTTTTTCATCATAAAAAATATTTTTAGGACTGTAGTTTTCACATTTTGGAAACCAACTTTAGTACCTTGGAGCACGCAATACCATTCACACCAATAAGAAAGAAAATTCTACAATGTCTGCAAATTTTATGTATAAAATGTGCATAGAGAAGTATAATGACATTACAATTGAATTGTTTTGTTGAACATCTTTGATTAATTTTTCTATAAATATTCTATTAACTCAAATTATAGTTTCAGAAATTTCATTAAGATCCTCTCAAAGACTCCAAACAATTATATGATCGTAATTTGATGAAATTTGATTTTCATTTGTTAGTGGGATTTTTCATACTATTATGAAAACATTTCATATAATATATTTGAGCACGATAATATTACAACAGATTATGTCTCTGCCACACAATAGGTATATTATAAATTAAAGTTGCATAAATACACAAGTTGTTTTCATACCTAACACAGGTCCGAATCATAAATTAGTGTGTGGAGATTGTTTTCAACAAAAAATAAATGTGAAAGTGCATAAGAATACTTTTGACTTAAATGGAAATGGACCATCTCTTACCTGTTATTGATGCAATTGGCAATCTCAATTACTTTTTTTAGTAGCATCATCACCTTAAAACATAACCTGTATCATTTCAGAGTTAGCATCAAAATTTTGCACTTAAAATATGAATCATCCTTGTGCAAGCTCTAGAAACCTGTTGTCACAAATCCTGAATAGATATCTTCTAGTATGGATGATCTTAATGAAGGAATCAGCAATTGCTGCAACTCGTGCAGGAAATGAAACTGATTTGCAAGCTTTACTTGACTTCAAGAATAGGGTAGTAGCAGATCCATTCAACATTATGAGTTCTTGGAATGACTCCCTCCATCACTGCAATTGGATAGGAATCACATGCAACATCTCCAATGGAAGGGTCATGGACCTTAGTCTTGAGCAACTGAGACTAGGAGGCACTCTCACACCATTCATAGGAAACCTCACATTCCTCAACACACTCAACTTGTTAAACAATAGCTTTCATGGTGAAATTCCTCAAGAGGTGGGTCATTTACTCTATCTGGAACATCTAAACCTCAGCTTAAATAACTTTGGTGGGAGTATTCCAAGTAATCTAAGTCACTGCACAAAACTAGAAGTACTAGGTGTAGGAGGAAATAATCTTACAGGAGTAATCCCAACTTGGATTGGAAACCTTTCTTCTTTGTCTCGCATTAGCTTTGGATTAAACAACTTGATCGGAAGCATACCACAAGAGGTAGGCCTTTTATCAAGCTTGACATATCTTGTGCTATATGGGAATTACTTGTCTGGATCAGTTCCTTCTTCAATCTATAACAAATCTTCCTTATACTATTTCACTTTTACTCAAAACCAACTTCATGGGAACTTACCGGCCGATGTTGGGTTTACTCTTCCAAACATTCAAGTATTTGCTGGTGCGGTCAACCATCTTACAGGTTCTGTCCCTGCATCATTGTTGAATGCATCAAAACTAGAGATTCTTGACTTCTCCGTGAATGGTCTCACTGGAACACTGCCAAAGAACTTAGGGGTCTTGAACAGGTTAACTAGACTTAGCTTTGAACACAACAGACTGGGAACTGGGAAAACAGATGATCTTAGCTTTCTTGATTCTTTGGTCAACTGCACAGGTCTACAAGTTTTACGTCTAGGAGTAAATAATTTTGGTGGAGTATTGCCTAAATCAATTGCTAATTTCTCAAGCCAAATGCACACATTTGCCCTTGGAAATATACCTGGAATTGGCGACGGAATACATGGAAATATACCAGTTGGAATTGGCAATCTTGCTAACCTGGCCCTCATAAGTTTGGAAGGAAACCATCTAACTGGTAGTCTTCCTCATACATTGGGTAGGCTGAAAAATCTGAGAGAATTGTATCTGAATGTCAACAAATTTTCAGGTAGAATCCCATCCTCCTTGGGAAATTTGTCTGTATTAACGAAAATTTTTCTGGAGGAGAACAACTTCGAGGGAAGCATCCCTTCTAGTCTTGGAAACTGCCAAAATTTATTGGTACTCAGCCTTTATAGCAACAAGCTCAGTGGCACCATACCACCTGAAGTTATTGGCCTTTCTTCACTAGCAATTTATTTAGATGTATCTCATAATGCTTTGTCAGGGACTCTTCCATCTGAAGTGAGTAAGCTACAAAACCTTGGAGAGTTGGTGTTGTCTGAGAACAACTTTTCTGGAGTCATTCCATCTTCTCTTGGCAGATGCATTAGCTTGGAAAAGCTGCATTTGGAGGGAAATTCTTTTGATGGAAACATTCCTCAAACTTTAAAGAATTTGAGAGGTTTACTTGACATAGATCTTTCACGAAACAACTTGTCTGGCAAGATTCCCGAGTTTCTTGGGCAGTTCACTGAGCTCAAGCATTTAAATCTTTCATACAATAATTTTGAAGGTGAAATACCGAAGAATGGAATATTCAAAAATGCTACATCCCTTTCATTGTATGGCAACAGCAAGCTATGTGGGGGTATTCCAGAACTAAATTTCCCTCCATGCACTGTCAGGAAAGCTTCTTTGGCAAGAAGACTCCTTGCTCCTAAGGTGGTTATCCCTATAGCATGTGCACTTGTATTACTGCTAATTCTATCGTGTTTTCTTATATTGTTCCCCATAGTAAAAAGATCAAAGAAGAAAATTCCTACATCAACTACTGAAACGGGTTTGGAATTTGAAATTTCTTACTCAGAAATTAACAAGTGCACTGGTGGGTTCTCCCTGGATAACCTGATTGGTTCGGGAAGTTTTGGTTCTGTATATAAAGGAACTCTCTCAGGTGATAAATCAAGTGTCGCAGTTAAAGTATTAAACCTTCAACAGAAAGGAGCACCTGAGAGTTTCATTGATGAATGCCATGTTCTGAGAAGTGTAAGGCATCGTAACCTTCTCAAGATCATAACTGCGATCTCAGGAGTTGATCATCAAGGCAATGACTTCAAAGCTCTAGTGTTTGAGTACATGCCTAATGGAAGTCTAGAAGACTGGTTGCATCCTATAAGAAATTTGCAATTTCAGAAAAAGACATTGACATTCACTCAAAGACTGAACATAGCAATTGATGTTTCATGTGCACTGGAATACCTCCACCACTTCTGTGAAACTCCAATTGTTCATTGTGACATAAAGCCAAGTAACGTGCTTCTTGACAATGATATGGTTGCCCGTCTTGGTGACTTTGGATTAGCTACATTTCTGTATGAAGAATCAAACAAGTTATCCACACAACCAGTTATATCAGCTAACCTAAGGGGTTCTATTGGCTACATCCCTCCAGGTGTGTTATACAAAATTCTAAGTGCTAAACTGTAATTATATTACATTGATTAAGAATGACCAACAAATAGCTCACATGCAGAGTATGGTATGGGTGGGAAGCCTTCCACACTTGGAGATATATACAGCTATGGGATACTGTTACTGGAAATTTTCACTGGAAAAAGGCCGACAGATGAAGCATTTGAAGGTGGCACGGGAATTCAGCAGTTTTAGCAATGGCTCTATCTAACAATGTCATGATATCCTTGATCCTTCATTAGTCTGTGAACAGACTTGATGAGGAAAAGTGAAGAGTCTGAGTGTGAAGAGATTGAAGGAATGGCTAAAGGTTTGATTGAGGATTGCTTGTGTCCTCTGCAAATTGGAATGTCGTGCTTCTGCAAATGCACCTGATAACGAATGCCAATCACTGTGGTCATCAACAAACTGCATACTATCAGGAACGTTTATACAGATAAAGCATAGTGTCATATGAACAGCATCTAAGCGAAGGAAAAAAGGATAAGATAATGATATCTAAAATTGCAAGATTTTATTATAAATTCTTATGTAGCCATGCAAATGCAATATAAGCTAACTTTTAAGTATTCAATATTCCCAAATGAACATTTTAGCTTATTTGTTGCCATTTTAAATTCTCAAAAGATAATTTGTATTACATTAATTCTATTGTGTTCACTTGAATTGTTCCCCATAGTTAAAAGATAAAAAAAGAAAACTCCTACATCATCTACTGAAAGGGATTGGAATTGGAAATTTCTTACTCAGAAATTATGAAGGGCACTGGCGGTGGGTTCACCTAGGATACGGTGATTGGCTCGGGAATTTTGGTTCTGTATATACATAGGAATTTCTCAGGGGATGAATCAAGTGTTGCAGTTAGAGTATTAAACCTTCAACAGAGAGGGGCCTCTGAGAGCTTCGTTGATGAATGTCAATTTCTGATAATTGTAAGGCATCGCAACCAAGGTTGCAATAAGGGAAACTATTTTCAGTAGGCAAAATCAATCATTAAAGCATATACAATTTAGAGTAACTTGACAGGTAATTTCCTAAAATGTTAAAAATGTGGTTACAAAGCTTATTCAATTCTGTCCTTAACAAATGGAGAAAGGATTAAACCTTTAAAATCATAAGGAAAAACACCTTTCAGAAAATCTCAAACTTTGCATATGCTCTATTTCCGATATAATTATCACCAAATATATTTTTCACCTTCCTTCACCCATTGCCTCCCCTCTTCCTCAGTTACCCTTATTCTTCATACAGCACCCTCCTTTCTGTTGAACAAGTATGATGGGAAAAGAAATAGCACAAGCCCAACCAATGGTTAAAATGACAACAATCCCAAAGAATTGTCATGCTCCACTTGTCTTCCAATTACTCCTCTGGTTTCCCCATGTTATATGGTCGAATGAGGGCAGAAACTTTGGTCTGCAAAAGCATACAACTTAGGAAAACAAAAGAACTACCAGTGGAGTTTAATTAAACAAAACAAAAATAGTGGTGTTCTAATGACTAGGCTCGCTGGGCACACAGGGCAGGACTGCAGCAGCCTGTTTATCCCTCACTGGTCCAGGAGAGGGAGGTTTTCGCTGCTCTGTGAAACCAGCCTCACGCGTGCCCTCCACTCTAGGACCCAAGAACCCTGCGCTTTCGTCTCAGTTCCATGGGCAGCTCTCAACTTGGAGCGGGCGGCCAGCACCTTGATGTCAAAGCCCAACCCAGCGATGTCAGAGCATTCTCCCACCACCATGATGCCCCTCGCTTGAGTCCAAGTTGACGCTACCCACTTCGGCGAGCTGAGTTCCTTGTCAGAACATTATAAATGACGTTGTTTAGTCCTAAGTTTCGGGCCGATGTGGGACTTGCATTTTGCTCTTTACATTTTGTTCATTTGCGTGGATGGTATTATTCACACTGATACGCAAAAACATATTTGTGAGAAATTATACATTCGTTTTCGCTGATTGTAAAGCGAGCGAGAGCACAAATTTGAGGGATGGCTGACGTTTTTATATCTTGCCAATTTGCTCGATTTTTTCTGATTTACGAAGAAATGACCAAATGACCCTACTACGATTTTATCATATTTACTTCACAAAAGTTGAAGTATCTTATTTGCTTAAGCTTTGTAATCGATTCCAAGTCACCAGAGAACCGATTCCACTGAACGCACTTTGTTGCTAGGAGTTCACGTGTAGGATTTGCTTTGCCATGCACAATGTTGCTTTTACTTTAAGTTGGAGTGGCAGAATTCCTTAACGAAGAGGAAAAAGATTCCCTACAAGTACAGTGCAAAATTTGAATTTTTTTACTCACTGGACTCCCTTCACATACTAATACAGCCATTACTAGTGCTTGGTACCCCCCCCCCGCATTAGTGGTTTATAATAAGTACCATTGCTCAAGCATATAAAGTCAACCACTGTTGTTTGAGTGTGGTACGACAGCATATTGAAGAATGTTAGAGAAGACGGTTTGATACACCTATCTTTGTCAAACGGATGCGATTTTTATTTAAAATGTGTAATTGTAATATTTAATATAATTGCTATTAATATGACAAGTGTTCCATTTATTTTGGCTCTTCCTTCAATTGTTTCTATTCATATTATATTGTTATTTTAATTTTCTTTTTCTTGTTAGAAGTTATTGCTTACTGAATCATTCCATGGTGCAAAAAGGACCCGAACAATGTCGTAAGGGAAAAGAAAATATGATAGAGACAGACACTTTGCACAAAAGGTCATCTAATGAAGAAGTATTAATCACTTGTTTTTATCTCAGCGATAGTCCTCAAATGGAGCATTATGCTTCTAATTTCTATACAAGAAATATTCTAGTTCCAAATATTATGAATTTTGAATCATTTCGACCTCAGGTCTATATTTTCATCATCACCTCGTCTTTTAGAGAGTATCAGATTTTGTGAGATTGGAGTGACCTTTCTATTTTGATTTGATAAAAGTCTTCTATTCAAATATAAGGATCTCAACCAATGGATATCTTCAAGTGAGGTGAACAAAAAAAGAATTAAGTTGAAACCATCCGATTAGTTTAATGTTGCTAATTTATACAAGGGTCAAAAATTGTCCTTCGCAAATACACCAGATGACTTTCCCTACGACTGCGAGATGGACATAGGCTACTATGGTCAGACTAGAAATGAAGGGTCAACGTCTAAAAATGGTTGGTTGTTTGAACATTAATGAAAGACTTCTGCATTATGTTATCGTTCATATATTGACTCCACGACCTGAAAATTTTGCAAAATTGTTGCAAGAAGATATTTTTATGTTATGGGTGTTTAAAAATAATATATCTATCAATTTTCCTCGTCAAATCATGCATCATATGCTTAAATGCAAGACTAGTGACACACCTATACCATACAATGTATTAATCACCCTAATCATACAACACAGTGGAGTACATCTTGACTTCGACGCACAACACTCAGATTAGGAGAAAACAACATTTTTCAACCAATTATTTGAAGAAGTTGAATATTGTCAATGTCAACGTTGTTTGGCAACACGATGTTAGTGATCTATGAAGATAAATAACAAGCACAACATCCAAGTCCTGAACATGACGACCTTGTGCAACATCTCCTTATCCTTCAAATCCTCATATGGTGACTCAAATGTGGGAGGGGGTACGGGACTTGAAAAACTGAATGCAAGATATGGAACAAATCAAGGGCGATGTTTAATGAATTAAAGATAACTTGCCAACTTATCTCTAGACATGAAACAAAAATTCATTAACCTCAATTATAATGTTAACTTAACTTTGCACAAATTAGATATTAAGATGTATAATATTGGATGACTGTATTACATGTCATTATGAATTTGCTTTATTATATTACATTAACTTATGTCTTTGAATTGGTTAATTACATCAACTTCATTACATTTCACTTCAAAAAAATTTGTCATACTTTTATTTATTTCAATATCACCTTAATGAACTTCAAATCAGATGAGTTCCTTGAATAATTAACAAATTGGAAAAGAAATACTGAAACAAGAAAACTATGTGTCATTGTTCATCGGCAAATACAAGTCATAAGGGTCGAAATGCGATGTTAAACAGTCACAACCAACGAAATTGTTACAAGTCATTCATCTAATCATACCTCAAAACAAATTGGTAACTTATTAAGGACTATAAACATTCAAGATGATAATTTATTCAGACATGTTTCGAATTTTTGTCTCACATTCATCCCATACAAGACGTCTAACAGAGACGATACAATATTGTTTGAATAAGTTGTTTACATACCTAAACTTAGGAACTTCATTATAAACTATGATAAATATAGTTATAGCTTATTATGTGCCGACATTTTTTATGTCAAATAACATTGTAACTTCACTTCATTATTTGTTCATCACCAATATTCAATTTCACTTCAATAGCAAAAAATTATACCACTTTACAATAAATTATAGAGTTAAATATGTTTTTGTCCCTTAACTTTACTTAAAATTGGAATCAGTTCTATCTTAGAACTGTGAACTAATTTAGTCCCTAAACTTATAAATGTATGAATTTAATCCTTTTAATTAAATTTTGTTAGGTTATTTGATGTTTTAAATGCGTTTCATGATAGCATTTGAGTTGTTTACACCGTTTGACACATTTTTGCTTTATTGTTAACTGAGAAATGCGTTTGAAACATAAAATAAAATTAACAAAATTTGGTTAAAAGGACTAAATTCACACATTTCTAAAGTTTTGGGACTAAATTAGTCCAAAATTTTGAAGAGAGACTAATTTCAATTTTCACTGAAAATTAAGGGACCAAAAACATATTTAACCCTAAATTATATTTACAAAATATTATATTTTAAACATAATTATTTCACTTTACTAAATACAACTTTTTTTCATTTAAAAAAATATTTTTTTCCTTTCCTCCTTATAATAATTTATACAATTAAATATATTATTAACAATTATCATTTTATATTACTTTTATCACCAAGGTCATTTTGGTATCAATTTCCATCAATTGAACCATTTTTCTTATTTGCCACCTTGGTCAAATCCTACCTAAATTTTCACAAACTTTATTTCAAATACACTTTTACTCATCTCCAAATCTCTTCAAAAAAATAACAATCAACTTACTCTCAAATCCTCTCAAATTCATCTACTCCTTCTCCCTCAAATTCATCCTTCAATGTGAACACGTCCTTAATTTCCTTGTGTAGTCGGTTCACCTTTACCATAAGCATTCATTTTTGTGTACAAACTAACAAAATGATATCTTGAACACGGATGACCACATTTACTTAA